CCCTTTGACAAGGGTGGGTGTAGGCTTCCGACGTTAAACCACCCCCAGGCTGCCGTCACGTGGGGAGAGGAAGAGGATATGCCTACCCCCTACTTGTATACCTAACTGTGCGTGTGACCTTGCTGGATCTCATACACACCAGTGAGTAATGAACTAATTTTCTCCACACTGAGGATGGAGGTCAATCCTGTTACATTCTATTGAAATGCAATTGAAAAGAACGCCTAAACGATTGAATTGTTGTAATAGTTATTGGGCCTTCTACTAGAGTAGACCCCTTCAAAAGTCTAATTTAAATGTGCTCTCCAATTTAGGTTACAAAATTGACTTTTTTGATTAAATGGAAAGTAGCTTCCTTTAAGCTACCTACCACTACTATTCAATTCAAAGGATTTCACCGTCAATTAGCAGGGCAGAGATGAAGCACACCATTATCTGATCCTGAAAGAAAAAAAGAAGGCGCCTCTAATTTATGCCTGAGTCGCTTTCAAAGGTTTCTCCAGCGGCACAAGTTATTTGGCATTTAGTAGTTCGCTGAGCATCAAAGTGATGCCTTATTAGGGACAAATGGTCATTTTGATAGGACAGCAGAATCGCTCTAGGAATTCACTTCACGAATATTCTGTCCTCCAGATCCATTTATTTGCGCCATGGTGGCTGCAGCTCCTCGGCGCCATAGGCCCTGAAGGTGGAAGGACGGCTACGCGACGCTCAACCAAACCACTTTCACAAGGTGGATATAAATGTAAAGGTTGGAAAAAATCGCAACACCAAAGACAAGCAGCACCCACGTGTCGGCTCTACCTCCCTCATTTGACCTATGATCGCAATTAAGAGGCAACCATTTTTTAAAAATGGGCATTTATGTACTGAACCAAACTTGTTAGACAACAGAATGGAATTTGTCAACCCTCAAGCGGTTGCCTTTGCTGTATCCAAGGTCCCGATTGTGGGCCTCTTTCAGCGCAACGGGCATTCCGTATTTAGCGTAAGCTTTGGAAACACACTTTCAAGAGCTGTAGGTTAGTGCCCTATCAGTACCAATATCGCGAGTACACAAAGCACAATCACCCACACAATCCTCAGCTTAAAGTTCACGCGGGCTCAAAACTAGCACCCACAGTCGGTGACGGTGGTAGTTGTGGTACTGGTTAATCACGCTGCCGACTTTCATGTGATGAGGACGCCTCTCTGTTGCCTACCGCTGAGTGACTTTTTCCTCACTACTCTTCGCACAAGCTGTACTAACAGCAGTAGCATGGATGCTCCAACTCACTCCAAAAATCTCACTAGTCGTCTGCACTACATCTTCTTAGGACTAATCTTTTTTGGTCTTGCCTCCCTTCTCTTTGCCTTTGAAGTGGCCACTCCTACGCCTTACTCCCTTGGCTACTGGAATGGAGCCCTAGCATTTTTCTCGGGCCTCTCAGTTTTCGGTGTGGTAGCATTCACCAGTCAATGGACTCTGATACTCCTCCTCGGTATCAACGCCTTCACCATCCTAGCATGCATCATAGCTGCTCTCACCTCGATGAAGACTCGAGAGGAGCGTCATTTGCCTTCCTATTGGGTGTGCTTGGCGACCCTCATGTGTTCAGTCTACTCTATGATCTTTGTTCTCGTCAAATACGGGTTGGATGCTGAGGATTTGAGCAGGCAGAACTCGGCGTTCATGTTGGCCTCGCAGGAATTGCAGTCGAGACAGCAAACTATTCAACCTCCAGAAGGATTTATACTACCGAATGAGGTACCGTATTTGCCAGATTATGACAACCTCTCGGATCCACCCTCCTATCGAGAGGCTGTTGGTGGTAGTGCTGAGAAAACTACCCCAGAAAGGAGCTAGAGTTGACCGCATATCTTTTGCTTTGTAAATAGGTGAATTTAGAACGACTCCTCTTCCCTTCATTCTCCCCTCCCTCCCCCCTCCTCCTTGTTAGAGGCCTCTGGAACTTATCATCGCTTTTGATGGGGCGTAAACCTACAAAAGTCATATTTTCAATCCCTTTTGCTCGCAATACCTTTGAGTAGTTGACAATGCATGATTATGATGTCTTTTTAAGGCAAAATGTTGAATGGGCTAATGTGAGTCAACATAACACAGAAGCAAAGAAGAGGGCACACTTATCTCCAAGTAAATCAAAACAACGTCTACATTTTGCAGCTATTTGATAAGGTTAATGCGAATCCTGTTTATTACTTATACAACTCTAA